TTTGGTTGATTATTATTATTGAAAAATGATTTTTTTTATAAACTAATAGCTTTAAAAATTAAAGAATTTTTATAGTCTCGGCACTATTAATTTATAGAGTTTTTATTTTATTTTATCAAACAATTAGTTTAGTAATATACACATTAACACTATATTATTAAACATAAAAAGTGAACTAAGAGTTTTTGTCTAGCATGAAAAATTTCTATAACTTACATAAGACAATACTATTACACTTTAAAAAACAGCTGCATCCACATAAATTGCTACAACAGTTGCATATCAAATTAAACAACAATACCACCCAAAAAATATTCATATCCAGATAACACAGAAACCAAACAATTCGCTTGTAGCATGGACACATCATTAATTATTCATAAAGTCTGCATTTGATATCAAACTGCATTTTGAATAAATTTCATAGCCGAAAGATTAAATAATTTTTTGATTAAAACACGTAGTTTTTTAGTAGAGGTGGCATGTTCATGGACCTATTATCTCAAAATGAAAGTTAGATTACATGGTTTACATATTGTTCCAAAGACTTGTACGAGCTGAAATATATATAACCTTCTATACAATTTTTTAAAATATGAGTAACAGTCTTCTCGATTTTGAACAACCTAACGTATGGAGTAACTCAAAGTAAATTAAAAACCCAAATATCCCTAAAATACAACATATTGCAAGAAGTCAGAAAAATGAAAACTATATTCGTAAACCTTGTACTATTATCTAGTATTCTAGTAAGTATCTTAGTTAATTTAAAACAAATCTTTATAAATAAAATAGACTTATTTCTTTCTATGAGAGGTTTAAAGCCAAGTGTCAGTTTCTCATTTGTTGAAGATTCATTCTGTAAATTGAGTTGGAGTTTAAATGTAAATTCGCAGCCCAATTATTAGAATAGGTTTAGTTGTTTTTTTATTTATCGTCCAACAGGTGTCATTATAATGTTTCCGATGAGAATTTATAGCATATATCTAAGACTCTAATCTATTAATTTAAAGCCACTCCCATTAAAGCACAACAATTTTTTTGTATAAAATTTTTGAAGACATTCTCTACAAACCTAAGTAAAAGATCGAAATATTTTGCTTCTTCCTCATGTGGTCTTCCTCTTTTTAATCCTCTATCAATGATCCCATTCTCTGGTACGATGATTCCAACTCTGCCCATTGTCTACGATATCATCTCTCTGCTGTTGAAAACCAAGATCATTTTCAATATTTGAAGATTTGTGAAATCGCGGTGGCGCCGAAAAATAAGTCTATTTTATTTATAAAGATTGCAGATTTCACGACATCTTTTTGCACCACGACTTGAACTGAGAAAAAAAAAATTAAACCTTAATAATAATATGCTTTAATTGTTAGATCTTTCAGCTTCATGTCATGTTCATATCTCTGATGTCTTTGTTTTCAAATATTAAAGTTTTCAAACTGATGGGTTGTGACTGATGTGAATTACTGAATGCAATATGCAGTCTTCTGCGAAGTAGCACTGGACTCAAAACACACATGTATGTTCATAATAGAAACAATGATGTTTTTATTTATTTTCCTTTTTGGGTAAAATGTTAATGATTTCATTTCTTTCTCTAAATATAAACCTCCTCCTAGGTCTGCGACTAGGGTAAGGTGCAACATCCTATTTATTCTCACTGACTAGACTGTGTGTAACTTGCTATGAACGTGATTCATGCAAGGACATATGCAAATGATTTGGTATATTTGATAATAAGTTAGTTTGTATGAATGTCATCTTTACTACGGCCATTAAACCTGAAGTAGAATATCAAAATAGTATTTTGATAAACCAATGACAGAGACAAGAAAGTTAAGAGCATATGCAATGGTGAGGTTCAATGGTGAATCCTTAGCCATTGTTTAATATTTTTTTTTTTTTTTTTTTTGAATAGTTAAGGATCCGAAGTAAAATTGTCTCTCCAATGGTGAGCCCGAGGATGGAATCCTTAAAAAAAAAAAAAAAAAATTTGGAAACTTAAATTTTATTAATTGCATTAATTAAAAAAGATACAAGGATTATAAATAAACATAAAAAGATACACTAATTAATTTTCATCACCGAACTTGTTCCAAATATTTTCGATTAAATCATTCTTCAATTGTTGATGGATATGGTTATCACGAAGATCATTCCGATTAGGAAATATATTATGCAGATTTGTAGGTCTCTCGGTCTCGACCTCTGAATGTCTGGTGACGTCTCCTTCTTCAAAATCCGAAATATCGTACTGCATGTAACCATCTCGTTCATTTTCAACTATCATATTGTGTAGTATGATACATACTCTCATAATCTTCCCTATCTTTTCTTTGTTCAATGTACGTACCGGGTTTCTGACAATCGCAAATCGGGCTTGCAATACTCCAAAAGCTCGCTCTACATCTTTTCGTGCTGCTTCTTGAACTCGGGCAAATAGCTCTTGTTTAGGACTCTGAGGGAGTGAGATAGATTGGATAAATGTTGACCATTTTAGATATATACCGTCTGTGAGGTAATATGCCAACTTATACATGTGTCCATTGACCATGTACTTTACCCTGGGAGCTCGACCTTCTAAAATGTCATCAAACACAGGAGACCGATCGAGAACATTAATATCATTTAAGGTACCTGGAGGACCAAAAAATGCGTGCAATATCCAAAGATCGTGTGAAGCTACTGCCTCTAAGACAATTGTTGGTTTTCCTGATCCACGGGCGTACTGTCCTTTCCTAGCGGTCAGGAAATTTTTCCACTCCCAATGCATACAATCAATGCTCCCGACCATCCCAGAAAACCCTCGTTTCTCTCCAATATCGAGTAGTTGTTGAAGATCCGCCGGTGTGGGTCGTCTAAGATACTCATTTTCGAATAACTGTATTATTCCGTCCGTAAATTTATGTAAACACAAAAGTGCAGTGGACTCACCAAGTCGGAGATATTCGTCAACCGTATCAGCCGCAGAGCCATAAGCAAGCATACGAATTGCTGCCGTACATTTTTGTAGTGCTGATAGACCGAACCTCCCGGTTGCATCTCTTCTTTGTTGAAAGAATAGAATGTTCTCTGATAGCCCATGGACAATACGCAAGAATAAGTCCTTATTCATACGGAAACGACGTCTGAATAAATGTGCTGGGAATGTCGAATCTTCGCTGAAGTAGTCTTTCCATAAGCGGTCGTGTCCTCCTTCACGGTTTCGTTCAATATATGCACGGTTCCTTTGGTTACTACTTTGGCCCTCGACTATATCGGTGAATGTTTCTTCGAATATTTCTTCGAAAACTTCTTCAAATATTTCTTCGAAAACCTCGTCGGACGAAGATGAAGACATTGTGAACGGATCCTGCAACCAAAAAAATTATTATAAGTTTTATTATAATTTTTTAATATATAAAACCGTAAGCTTTATAAAAGGTTAATTTTTTAATGAATTCTGCTATTGATAATATAAATATGCAAGTTCAAATTTGTATAACAACGTATGTTCAAATTGGTATAAAAACGTATGTTCAAATTTATAATAACATTTTCCGATTTATAATAACATTTTCCGATTTAATAGGTATATAGAAGTTATGAGTTATAATTACAAGTTATGAGTTATAATTACAAGTTATGAAATATAATTACAAGTTAGGTTGAGATGAAAAGAAGCATATTCAAAAGGAATATATAGAAGTTATGAGTTATAATTACAAGTTATGAGTTATAATTACAAGTTAGGTTGAGAATGGTTGATTGTTTGTTTAAAAGAAGCATATTCAAAAGGAATATAAAGAAGCATATGATTGTTTTGCATGAACACTACGTGTTTAGATAATGGATCTTTTTTTGGCAAGTAAACGTTCCAGGATCTTGTGTTTAGAAAGTGTTTCCTTCCCTCCGTCTTTAGTAAGGTAGGTACTCTGCCATTTCTGGTCGTGTCTGAGCTCCCTCCACGCATGTTCCAGAATAAACCTTTGCCTGTAAATCTTGAAGAATGAGTCGAGCGCATCATTCATAACATTATCATCATTCATTCCACTTCTCTGACCCCTCAAAGCCGCATCATAACATCCAACGAACTTACACACTTGTTCGTTGATCCTTGCCCATCTCTGCTTGGCTGGACGAATCTCTCTAGGTAGCACACCAACTAGTTGAGGGCTTGCGTTGTAATAATCAACAATTCGCTTCCAGAAACGTTCTGCCTTCTGGTCGCAGCTGATTACGGGGTCTTTGCTGGTGCTAAGCCACGCTCCAATGAGGATTTTATCCTCAATTGGAGACCATTTCCTACGCTCAACACTAGACTGGACAGGAGACTCGACACTAGTTTGGAAAGAAGACTCGACACTAGGTTGGAAAGAAGACTCGAAACTACGTTGGAAAGAAGACTCGACACCAGGACCTTGGCTACCGAACCAAGCAGGTTCAGGTGACTCAAGGTCAACTGAAGATTGACTATACATTAGATTAACAAACCCAGTTGTGTTGTTCATGTTTAGATGATGGTCTGTGATGCTTTATTAGCAACACAGGCACTTAAGTAGGCGTTAGAAAGTAAGATTTTTTGGTTCGGAGTAGTTATTAGGCAGATAGAAAGCAGCACTCAAATCAGAGCAATAAGTATGACCACTATATTAACTTAGCAAGTACAATTCTATCAAATCTAAGAGGTTAGGAAGCAATACTAGCAATAAGTATGAGAGTTAAAGCTCAACCAATAAAGCCACACGTTTTTATTCGACCGGAGAACGATATTAACTTAGCAAGTACAATTCTATCAAATCTAAGAGGTTAGGAAGCAATACTAGCAATAAGTATGACAGTAAAAGCTCAACCAATAAAGCCACACGTTTTTATTCGTATTTATAAGCAAAATGTTTATATTTGTTATTGAAGCTAAATGTTTTTATCAGCTAAAATTATTGACGCTAAATGTTTTAAGTCATTCAAATTTTTAGTCTAAATGTATTTGAAACAGAAACTAAAAAAGATAGAAACTATTGTACCTGCGAAGCCCATCTCCGGTTCAGACACTGCTCTTGAAATCCCCTTATGTTTTTCCTTCAAACACATTTAAATTTAAAAATAGTTAAGAATAGAATTTTTTCTCAAACAATATTAACTAAAAAAAAGGAATGCAATTTTACCAGCACGTCACGATGACCAGTACAACCAAAAGCAGTAGAGAAACTCCCTTCGCAAACCATGTTCTTTTGACAACTGGGTTCTTCTTACTTAACGAACACACGATCTTCTCTAACTTAGCCAGCTTCTGGTCAATCTCAAAGAATTGATCCTTCAGCATCCTAAACTGTGTCTGCATTTCAAGTAGCTCTTCTTGAACTGCCACATCCCACCATTTCCAGATGTGGCAGTATCCATCGTCAACGTTCTCGCAGGAGAAGAACCTCCTCCCTGGATCTTTACGCGTGTACGACGTTGCAATAAGAGGGTCACTGCCGCAATAGCATGTCCTCGGGATTCCTTCATCAGCCTCGGGTTCACGTGGAAACTGATCCGCCTCTGCAACTCTGTTGGTACTTTGACCTTCATCGCCGTAGAGATCAGCTTCTGCTTGAAGTAGTTCGGTCATGTCAAACTCCTCCGAAGAAGAAGGCTGAGTGTAGCTGTAGTCTTGTCCCATATTCGTTGGCCTGCAGAAAAACAAAAAAAATTTGTCACCGAACAAGAAAACAAATCATTAAAACAAGCAAGAACCAACACAAAAACTAAACATTAAACAACACATTGACATAAACACTAATACACATTGACATCATCAGTTTAATATGTACAAATTACGGGAAAATCACACAAAATTTACTACAATTGACCGATTAAAACCGTAAATACAAACCAAATGATCCCCAATTGTAAACGGATTGAAGAGGAATTGAAACCCTAACTACAAACAAAAAATCCCCAATTGAAAACCCTAAATACAAATCAATGAGTTTTCGAGGAATCTAAACCGATGGAATCCCTAAAAACTAACTAAAAGATCTCCAATTTAAAACGGATTGAAAAAAATCCGAAACCCTAACTACAAACAAAAAATCCCCAATTGAAAACCCTAAATACAAATCAATGAGTTTTCGAGGAATCTAAACCGATGGAGACCCTAAAAACTAACTAAAATATCTCCAACTGAAAACGATTTGAAAAGAAACCGAAACCCTTACTACAAACAAAAATCCCCAATTGAAAACCCTAAATAAAAATCAAAGAGTTTTTGAAGAAACTAAACCGATGGAAACCCTAACTACGAACCAAAGAATCACCAGACGAAAACAATTTGAAAACGAATTGAAATCAATAAACTTTTTGAAACCCTAAAATTCGGTAAAATCCCCAAATCGATTCTACAAGAAAGGCGAAGAACAAGGAACATCAGTTATCCTAAAATCTATCACAGATGAACCCTACTAACCTTTCAAGATCAAGGAAAGAGAGGATCGACGACGGAGACAAAAATCGCCTTCTCGTCTCCACCTCTGTTTTTTTTTCTCGTGTTGAACGAAAATGAATTTTCTTTTACGGACTCCACCGAAAACAAAAGACGCAAGACGCAACGAAAACGTGACACGTGCATAAGGACCTGGTCCTTCAGCCCCTTCTTGACGGATTGATCCGTCACAAAAGCAGCCCATTAATCAATATTTTATTCCTTTTGGGCTAAGGATTTTGGGCTAAGGATCCCTCACGGATCACCGTTGCATATGGTCTAAAAGACACAAAAAGCTATGCATTCACGTCACATGCCACTTCTTCTTATCATTTTTTATTATATAATCAAAAACTTTTAACATCAATCTAAGTAACATTTACAAACAAATAATGTTCATTATATTATGTGTTACAAAAAAGAGTAAAAAAATATTGGTATAAGAAAATTCTTAATTTCAAATAAATTTTTTATGGAATTTAAGGATAACATTCTTTCTTGATTGAAACGGTATAATGAGGATCTTATTTAAACTAATTACAAACGTGTGATTTGTAGCCATGGAAGAGAATAAGGAAACAATATATTTACGATTGACTAAATCAATCAAGAATATTTGACAATATTTTTCCACCCTCCCGCAGTGAGATCGTTGGTGCAGCGGACGGTCAAGCTGGATCTGAAGTCCATGAAGAAAGAGGTCGGTAAGCCTTTAGTGAAGATGTCAGCGTACTGAAGCGAGGAGGGAACATGAATCACCTTAACCTGACCAAGAGCTACTTTTTCCCTTACAAAGTGGAGATCAATTTTGATATGCATCGTTCGTTGGCGTTGGACAGGGTTGGTAGAGAGATAAGCAGATCTGATGTTATCGCAGAAGACCAAGCTTTCAGTTCGTAGAGGGCAATGTAGCTCGAGCAAGAGGTTGCATATGAAGCAAGTTTCTGCGACTGTATTAGCTATTCCTTTGTATTCGGCCTCAACACAAGATCTTGAGACTGTTTGTTGTCCTTTTGATGACCATGAGACCAAGTTTTCACCAAGGTAAACAGCATAACCGGATGTGGAGCGACGAGTATCAGGGCAGCCAGCCCAATCTGCATCGGTGTAAGCTGTGAGAGTAGTGATTTTGGACTTGAAATTTTGAATTCCATGCGTGCTAGTGCCTTTTATATATCTGATGATGCGGCGAAGAGCCCTCATGTGTTGTTCCCTTGGATCGTACATGAAGAGGCTTACTTTTTGAACAGTGATATCACTCAAATGTTTAACCCTAAGGAGTGAATTACTCTCTCAAATAAGAGGTTCAATCGTAGTACTTAGGGATCGAATCCACAAGGAACCAGAGTCACAAAAGATATAATCCTAAGTGATTAAGCTAGGTTGATTAGGTTTAAAACAATAAATAAAAGTTGGTAGCAATGGTAAGTTGCTAAGGAGAATGAGTTTTGGGTTTTAAAACAATAAAAGAAAGTAGCTAGATTCAAGGTTACTATTCAGAAAATCAGGATTATAAATCTATGGATGTCTTAACGAATTGCTTGCAAATATATGAGAACTTCAATCCTTAGATAAATCTATAGCTGTCGCTAGTTAGACTCGTCCATTGATCTGATTGCCGACAGTATTGATCGATGTTGCTATTGCAGTGTCGATCGATATGTTTTGCCGTCGATCGATTACTCTATAGGAGTATCGATCGATATAGCATCGGATTGAATTGAAACTGTGTTCACCCAAGAATTTCTATTAGACCGCCTATCGCACGTGCCTAATAGAGTCTGAGCTTAGCCAAATGATTTCAGGATAATGACTATTAGATTAGTCACTCCATAATCATACTTCTAGGTAGCTAATCTAGAGTAAGCATTAGGGTTCATTTGGATAATGAATATAACAACTCAACACTCCATAGTTGGGGCTAATCCCTCATAACTATTTGAACCCTAAATCTAACAAATGAATCTACNGAGTCTGAGCTTAGCCAAATGATTTCAGGATAATGACTATTAGATTAGTCACTCCATAATCATACTTCTAGGTAGCTAATCTAGAGTAAGCATTAGGGTTCATTTGGATAATGAATATAACAACTCAACACTCCATAGTTGGGGCTAATCCCTCATAACTATTTGAACCCTAAATCTAACAAATGAATCTACTCAGACAAAGCCAAGGGATTCATAGCAAAAGAATAAGATGAAAAGAAAATACTTTATTGCTAAGTATAGAATAGAATACAAAACTAAAACTCTTTATTTTTCCCCCTCTCCCTCTCTAGGGCTCATAGGCATAACTATAAATATGAGTACAATTAGGTTAAAAACTCGTCAGTGGTAATCTTGTAATTTGGTGAGAACTTGGGCTTCAAGTCGGCCAAGTAAATCTTGCTCATCACGCTCTGTATCGATCGATGGTACATGGTGTACATCGATCGATGGAGTATCTCGACTTCAACTTCTATAGAAGCGTCATCGATCGATTTCACAAGGTGTGTATCGATCGATATGTGTCTCTCATTGACGGATCTTCATAGTCATCTTGGAAAACTCTCCTTTAAGCTCCATAAGGCACCTAAATCATCACTTTACTACAAAATGCTCTTGAACCTGAAAACATACCTAATAGACTCCAAAACATAGATAATTGTTATAAAAACATATCAATACCATGACCAAAAACGGGTCAAAATCATGGTATATCAACTCCCCCAGACTTAACCGTTTGCTTGTCCTCAAGCAAACCTTAAGTTAGTCCTTGGAAGAAGTTTAAAAAAAGCAGGGACTCAATCAAAATCTCAACTTTAAAATCACCACCTCTTACTTTGTTGCAAGCCACATCTCATATCTATCAACTACAGAAGTACATTATACCATATCCTAGCTTAGCAACCAAATACATCTGGCCAATCAACTTAAACATTCCTTGTCTATCTATCCCCTCTACTGATTTCATTTATGCATAAAAATAAAGGTGTAGGCTTTACCGTGGGAGTATCGATCAAGAAACACATGGATTCAACTCAAACAAGTTTCAGGCATTCTCATCCTGGTTCCCGTTCTCTCTTTATCCCCCTTCTCTGAATCCCAACTCTTTCTTTCTTTTCTCTTTTTTTTTTTATATCAATCCCAATGAACAACTAATGTTCATCTTATTGATCTTTCTTGACAAAGTGTAAGCGAATAGTGGGGTCATAGGTAATGTACATCTCCCTCGCTTTGATCATTCCTTTGATTTAGAATAGTGGAGTCATAGGTAATGTACCTCTCCCTCTGCCTCTCAGGAAATCATATCGTCTTTTATTATCTGGGGACGCCGAAGGAATGAAAGAAGGAAAGCAAAATTTTTGAGACTTTTACCTTCCAGACTTGCAGGAGGATTCCGATCCCTTGTATACCAAGCCCCAAGACAAGCAGTAGATGTCAGGTTAGGTTGGAAATCAGCTTTGGTTCTTCCAGACAATCATGAAAGTGTTGTCATAGGTGATCGGTGATCCACTTTAGCATCTATAGTACTTTATGCAATTAACAAATCTAAGAATGGTGCTAAAGAGTGGCAAGATAAAAAATAAGACTTTGAAAAAATTTCCCTTTCTTGACTCAATAAAACCAATTTTTGAAAACTTAATAAATAAGATCAAAAAGAGGTAAAGTAGCATCAGTAATCATCTCCCCAGACTTAAATCATACACTGTCCTCAGGGTATAATCAGTCAGAGTTAGAGCATAAGAAAAATTAAATGAGTAACTGATATCGAAATTGTGAACGATATACCTGATCGATATGGATATTGATCGATGTTGAGTCGCCATCGTCGATCGATGCGTGTAGGTATGTGTCGAGCGATATTGACTGATTCGT